CCTACGAAACGAATAGGCGAGAAAGACAAGACGATTGTACACAAATCGTACGTACTGCATGCCTATTAGATGTATTCAAAACTAAATTAAAATCACACCTTTATACTATATGTTATTAGTTTTTTCTTTCTCTTTTTTATAACATTAGTTAGAACAGATACCGTGCATCATTATGGCACCTGTGAATTATGTTCTGGCCAACCATTGTTTGACAATGGTCTTAAATTGCGGTGCGAAGATGTGCGGTTCTTCTGCTATAATCCTTTTGATAAATGAAATTTAGTGTCTGCTATAGCCGGTTTTAATCAAAGTTTTTGAATCTCCAAGCAGTTTTTGAAGCAAAGAAATCTAGAAATAGGTCGGCAAAGAATGGCCGTCCTTTATCAATTCTGGCTCGGCAATTGCCAATTGCTGACGTGAAATTCGTGGTCTGTGTTACTACGGATGTAAACAAAGTTAAAACTATTGACATTTACACCATGTATCAGTTTATTTAATTTCCCCTTTTATCATCTGTATCTTATTGTGTTTCACTAGAGCAAACAATTTTACTGTGTATTTTACTACAAATATGGTAGTACCCTATTGACAATAACAGCAATAATATGTGGTTGGCATCACATCCTACAGTACCTATTAATTTGAAACAAAACAAGAATTAAAAAATGTTGTGGTACCAGTCAAGGCTGGTCAGTGGTGATGCCATAAAAATTAAGATAGTTTATATGAAGACTGGAGATGACTGAATGTGCATTTCTATTTTTACTTTTTTAATTTTTTTAAATTTTTATGCATATTTCTCCTTTTTATGTATTTGTTTAGTAAGTTTGTACCATTTTTATTTACGAACGCACCGATTGTCATCGAGTGCCACCGATCTAAATGTGCAAGTTCAAATGATTTAAGTTTAGAGTATTTTTTATTTTATTAAGCAATTATCTTACCATCTTTTCTATTCAACCTGATGTTCTGCTTTGGACCCCACTTGGAAATATATTAAAGTTTGTTGATCTTACAGTACATGGGTCATCAATGCATTCATTCTCCGTTTAAACAGGGTTTTATTTTTCTCTTTTTTGTATGTTATTGTCATTGTATTTGAATGAATGCTAAATAAATAAACACAGACACACATAAACAATAACAATTAAAAACAACAACCATTCTGTACATTAATAACCTCAATACAAATATTAATTGAGGTTATCAATGTTAAAACTATGTTGAGCCATGCCCAGCTATGAAGTCTAAAGTTAAGCAGCACTGACCAACATCCAAGAAATTCAATATGGAGGGATTCATATGTGGCAAAGACAAGCCAAACCAGTCACTTGTCGCAAAAATCGATTTTGAGTTATTAATACAGTGTTAGAG